CGCAGGGTGATGGACAGCCAAGAGTAGCTCTGGCCGCAGCCATCAGCCCCGCCACCCTGCCAGGGGAGGAAAGAAAGTGCAAAGCAAAGTGTTTTCGGTGCCAGCCAGGCAGCCGGCGGTCCCCAAAAGCATCGTGCCCCCAGAAGCAAGGAGCCGGGTTTACCTGGGGGCTTCGCACGGAAAACGAGGGTCGTGTCGCTCGTCAGCGAACGGGGCTGCACGTCACTGCCGCGCCGCAGGGCTCGTGCGAGGGGCTTTGAGATGGCGCAAGCGAGGTGCACGATTTGGGAGGTGGTGATGGGCAGGCCAGGACAGGAAGATGGAGCCAACAACCAACGCTCTCCCCTCGTGCTCTGCGTCCCCTTCTAGCGTCCCCTGCAACTGCTTCACCCTGACCCACCCACACCCTTCGTGGTTCTGGTTGTTGGTTTTTTTTGGCTTATTTAGTTTGTTTTTAAACCCCATGGAGATCAAATTGTGACTTGGCAGCTAACGGAGCTGGCCCTAGCGGGCTCCCCAGACTGAGCGAAGATCTTGAGAAGAGACCAGAGTGAAGTCCTGGGGTGAGCGAAGCCCTCCCTGCCCCTCTCCCGGCCCCGCTGGCCGCTCACAGGGTGGCGGTGGGGTACTGCGCCCAGCCCACCTCCTTGTACGCCGCCGTCACGTGGGTGTAGATGAGGGTCTTCATCTTGGTCCAGGCACCGTGCGCCTCCGGGGTGAAGTCGTTGGCGTATTCTTCAGCAATGACCTCCAGCATGACACCAGTGAGTTTCTGGAGGGAGGCGGACAGCAAAGGGTTAATAACTCTCCAGGGAGCAGCTACCAGTTACAAAACCAATTTAATCCTGTTGCTGAGTTCTGGGAATGACAACCCTCTGCGGGACAGCCAGACGTTCGGGAGGTCTGTCAACACCCAGGGGTTCAGACAGGGCAGGTCACCAGCCTGCCCGGGCACGAGGGAGGCTGAGACCAGGGCACGCCGGGCTGCTGCTTGCAGGTTCAAGCACCTCTCTGCTTTGGGCACCTCAAAGGATTTAGTCCCTTCTGTCACGCTGGGATTTCTAAAAGAAGGGACACACGGCCACAGCCGTGCCAGAGGGGCTGCAGGCAGGGCGCAGGCAGGACACAGGGAGGCAGGTTTCCCTGGGCGGGGGGAGGTACTGGACACTCTGGTGTTGGCTGTGTTTGGGAGTGGTGGTCTGTGTGGGACAGCACCACAGTGGGACCCTGCAGCAACGCGCGCAGCAACCCCCACGACCAGCCAACATCCTCCAGGAGAAGCCGGGCTGCACCAGCTCGCCACAGCTCCCTCTCTCCTGCCCTCTTCCTAATGTCTAAAGCATCCCAGAGATTTTTTTTTTTTGTTCCCATCCTTTACCTTAAAGTAGATGGGCTCCACTTTGTGCTTGAGGGCATGAGCCTTGCCCACCAGGGCCAGGACAGAGGACACCTTTTCGGAGTCATTGAGGTTCTCCACCACAGTGTTAATGGCACCCATGACCCGCCGAGCGTGCTTACGCAGTTGCAAGCTCCTCTCCATCTCCAGCGGGTCTTCCATGTGCTTGAACTGGCTGAAGTACTGCTTGGCCGAAGGGAAGTTGACGAAAAACCTCCAAGAAAGAACAGACACAAAATACCATCAGGAGGGTGAGAGCAGGCTGAAAGGTTAAAGCAAAGCACCGAGTGGTGGAGATGCTGGAAACTACCCCCTGGCACCTAACACAGCCAGGGCTGGTTTTCCCATTGAATTCCCCAGGAGCTGTGGCATTCAGCTGCCTGAAAATCAGCAGGTTAATGTCTTTCTCTCCAACCTTCTCTGTCTGCTACAAGGGCATCGCCGCTGGATATTCATCTGCAAAGCAGAAGCAAGACTGGGTTCTTGATACCTAGAGACTCCACCCAGGCACACCAGATGCTGTCTACATGCCCACATACATCAAAATGTCATGTCCTGTCTCGGAGAGCTGGGAATGAGCATGAAAACCTGTCTTTATCCCAGCCAGCCTCTCCCTGCCCCTCTTCCCCAGTCCCACAGCAGCTTCCTGTCCCCATGGGCTGCATTCCTACATTGCCACCCAAAACAGTCTCCCCCTGCCCAGGATGCCCCCACCTTTCACAGATCAGCCCCACCAGAGTCTCCAGCAAGATCTCAGCTGAGAACCCTCTATTCTGCAGGATTAAAACAACCTCAGTGAAAGGCACCTGCAGCAAATGAAGCTGTGGTTGCAGGTGATGTGCTGAGCTCCCCAGGGAGCTGGAAAGCTGGGGTGGGGGGGTGGTTTGAAGGACATGAGGTGACAGGGTGCAGGGCTGGGGCCACCCATGCCAGTATTGCAGCTGGTCGCTCTCGGCAGCGGGGGCTGAGACTCCAGTCGCGTTAACCACCCCCTTCCACCCGATTTACACGGGAGAGAACCACGTCAGCATGTTTGCTTCCCATTTTCACCTGGCTCCCTCCCTCCTCCTGGGCCTTCCTTCACCTGGACCAGTGAAGGATGCTCAGGACGTGGCAGACAACCCCCAGGGCTGTCCCCCATCATCCCTGACTCCAGAGGATCTGCCTCCTCCCCTCTCCCAGGCTGCCGTAACCCCCTCCCCACACACCATCCAAAACCACATGAACCCATCCCACCCCTTTTCCCAACCATTGCTACCTCCCTCCAGGACCAGGTGGGATCCTCTTCCCCACTCACCACTCCACAAATAATCTCAACATTGAGGACCAGGCTCCTTTACCACTTCTTTATCTTCCTTTTCCCCCCTCCCTTCCTTCCCCCACTCCCTTGGCTTGCGAAAGCTTGGGGGCATTGCCAAGGAAGCGACGTGAAGCAGTGCCTGGAGCGCACCCTCGCTTCTGTTGCTTCCCCGAGGCATCTGGGATTCATCAGATGGCCCAAAATAGGTTTCGGAGGTGTGAAGAGTGTGTGGCGGAAAGGGTGGGGGAGGAAGGAAGGTGGAAGGGGGAGGCAAGGTGTTGCTTTTAAAACCCAGAGGGGACCCATGACAAAACTCCTCTTGTTATTGTGCAGCCTCCCCCCTGGCAAAAGCTCCTCCTGACACATCTGGTCCCTGTCAGGAGAAATTATTGCCAGGCCTGTCTGTCTCCAGCTCCTGTCACCACAAAGATGCTCAGTCCTGTCAGAGAGGAGGGACACCGGTCTCCTGGCCAGGGGAAGAAGCGGGCCAGGGCCACACAGATAGCAGCGTTCCCAGGATTCAAGACTTCTGCCCTGCGCGTTTCCCAACAGAAGGACAAATGTTCCTCCCTGTTTTAATGGGTCCATTTTTCCCATCTGGTCCCAGCATCCTTCTCCCCCCCTTCTCATCCCTCCCCACCTCTGCACAAGCTGCTGCAGCCCCCAAGCCCGTAGCTCCAGCCCTCAATGCCCTCCAGATACCAATGCCCTCCAGACACCAACAGCGAACACCCCGCCCAGGTCAGAGCTAAGAGTTTTGCCACCCCTGCTAGCAGATCTTTCTCTCCTCACCCTCTGGCAGGCATGCCCCCGGGTGCTAGGAGCAGGGGGTGCTGCTGGAAGTGGGACCTGCTGCCCACAGACTACCCCGACGCAGGGATGGCGGCTGCCAGCTGGTCAACACGTGCCTAAATCTCTGAATCCCAAACCATTAGAAGTTCCCTGAAAAGCCTCATTTGATCTTCAGCTCAAGGGCATGAGTTGGGAAGAGCCAGAGAATGAGCTGTGAAAAACTCCCGGTCTGAGCCAGGCTCTTTCAGCAGAAGGGGTACAGCAAGGGGGGGCGCAGACCCCTGCGTTGCCAGGAATCGCAGCATCCCCCCACCAAGAGAAGGATCGAAGGGAGCTGTTGGAGCCAATGACCTTCAGGAGCAGGAGCAGAGGCTCCGTGCCGCTCCCACGGCATCACCTCCACCGCTCTGCCGCTTTTGGCCAGCTACACCAGGAGCAAAGATTGATTAAACCCCCAAAAGTCGCCAACCTGGGTGAGACCAGGCCAGCAAAGGATCCAAATATTTGATGTCCAACCTTTCCCTGCTTCGCAGACCCTCAAGGTGATGTCCCCGTGGGAGCTGAGCCCAGCAGCTTTCCTCAGGGACCTGCAAGAGGGACGGCAGTGGCGCTGGAGGGACTTAAACCAGCAAACCCCCAGCTCACGTGCTCAAGCCTGCGTGCTGTCTGCTTGTGTTCATCGATGGAGAACTGAAAGAGGGGAGCCCAAACCATCTTTGCTGCAAGTTGAAAAGCAAATCTGCGGCCAGCCAGAGACCTGCAGCCGTCTCTCCTTGGCCAGTGCCTCTCTGCAGGGCTGGAGAACGGCAGGCGCCTGCGGCAAGAACTTCTGGCCCGGAGCAAACATTTGAGTTGTCGAACCAAGAAAAAGAGGGAAGGAGGCTCACTCTGTGGTAGTCGTTAATAAACAGAGAAGATTAATTTAACACAAAGGTTAAATATAACCAGAGGAAAGGGGGGAAAAAAAGGAAGAAATAAAATAACTCAAACAATAGTGAATTAGAAGAGGTGTCGGTTGGGATTTTTCCATCTACAGAACATTTTTTTGAGAGTTCAAACATCTCAGGCTCTGGAATTTTGTTGGCTCATTATGTGTGTGTGTGTGTGTGAGTTTTGGGCTCTTTTTCTTCATTGGAGTCATTAAAAAGATGATATTTACCACTACATATCACACAAAATGATGATTGATAGAAACCAGATGCCTGCATACCGATCTCATTAAATTTCTTTTTAAGCGATTCCATTCTGCACCCGCTAATTTGTACTGAGAGCTACATCTGGACCCAACGGACAGGATGTCAGGATTGCTCTTCCTCTCCCTTTTGCTCTTTTAACAACTTTAAGGACACAACCGTTCCCAGTAGCAGATCCAAAGAAAATAATTAAGGTGCAAAACCACCACAGTCGCTGGGAACCTGATTTCTGTTCAGGAGGAGCGATGCCACTGCTCCTCCCAGCTCCCCCATCTTCCTCCCTCTCCCCGGACCCTGCAGAGCAAACCCCGCATCGAGGAAATCTCCAAGCCCAGCCATCCCCTTCCTTTCCCAGCTGGAAAGAGGACACCCGGGTGCTGCTTGCTTGGTCCCCCTGAGACCTAAACCCTTGATGCTTCACTTACTCTGCAAACTGCTGGGAAAAAGCTCTAGTGAGCCCTCAAAGCTGCTGGGAGGCTTCAGCTGAACCCCCAGCCAGCACTCCTAGACTTTTCTTGCTAGATTTTCCTACCAATGCTTTCATGTTTTCTCTCACCTCGTCCCTCTACGTGGGAGAAACTCTCTCTAACACAGCCTGGAGTCTCTCTGCGTCCCTTTTCAAACCTCTCCTTCCAATTCCTTTCTGCTTGGGTGCCTCCAAAGCAGCTGATAATGGGTAGGCAGGTGGTGTGTGGTGCTGCTATTTATTATGCTGAGGGCTGCCTCACCGCTTCGCCTGCACTTTCCCCCTGCTCCTCCCAGCCACCTGTAGTTTATTGTCCTATTTTCAGGCTGGGGCAGGGGTGCTGGGTGCTGCCTGTGTTTACAGCTCCCAGCCCAAGGTGAGAAAGGTCTTGGCCATGTCAATGCCAGCGCCCAACAAGGCAGAAAAAGGCAAATCTAACTGGAGTAAGAAGAGGATGGTGCCTGCTGGCCCCCACACCACAGCTCTGCCCGTGTCCTAAATCTGAGGGCTCACGGACCAGTGGAGGTGGTGGTGGGCAGCAGCTCCAGTGCCGGTGTGGGAGGGCCGGAGGGAAAAGGGCCAAGCCCCCGGTCCACACCCTGATGTCAAATTCAACCTCTTCTACAGCTGCGGGAGGAGAGGTGTAGCTGGCCTTCCTCCAGGTGAAGCCCACGCCGTGCTGCAAAGCCTCGGGAGCAGGCTCCAGCACAATACTCAGCCATGCTTGGACGCCCAGGGCAGAGGGACCAGGACACTCCAGTGAGCCTGGGAGGGGACCCAGCAGCAAAGATGCAGCCAAATACATATGGGCACGAGCTAGCAACCCCCGGGGGCACATCCTGCTCGCTCTGTGGGCACAATCCACAGCTCCAAGTCCTCATTGCTGTTGTTTTCCCCTATCACGTATGTGCATTCAGCCCAAAGCCTCTTGGCTGTGTAGACGAACCTTTAGGCTGGGGCTAAGGACAGCTTTCATCAGGTAAATGAATTAACAGTGCCAAAGTGGCTTTCCCACACGCCTCCGGTTTCCTACGGCCCTTGCAATCCCCTTCGCTCAGTGCCTTCCTCCACAGCATCATCCCCATCCTGCCAAACCGCTGTCCCTGCCCATGTCCCTGCCCGCTGGGTGCCAGCAGCAGGCAGGGACGGCTGTGTCGGCCCCCTCCCCCCCACCACCAGCATCTCCCCCCCGCACTGGGCACCCTTCCTACAGCCCTGCCGAGCGGGGTCAGCACGGCCCAGGGTCCGTGGGTGTTAGGAAACGGTGCTAAAACGTGACTCTTGCCTCCGAGGCAGTCACACAGAGAGGATCGATCTTGCTGGAGCCCAGCTGTATGTCCGTGACCCTCAGGGACAGCGGAGGGGTTTGGAGGTGGAAGACAACCCCCAGCCGGGTGGAGAAGGGGTAACTCAGATTCACAAGGACGTGGTCCCTGTGCTGGGACTCACCATCCGTCCAGCAAAACCGGGAACCTGATTTTTGCTGGTTTCTGCCACCACCTCTCCTCTCCAACGTTCCCGTGCTGATTTCCAGCAGCCCCGGCTCGGCGGTACCAGCAGCGCCCCCCCGGGGCCGTGCTCCAGCGGGGTGGCCAGCCAGCCAGCCATCGCCGTTCCCCAGCCACGCTCTCCTGACATTTCCCTGCCTTGAACGAGTGCTGGAACTCCGCAGGTGGGCACTCTCGGAAGCACGGCCCAGCTCCGCTGCAGCAGCCACATTAATGGAACCAGTTCGCAGAGCGGAGACTTGGCCCTCGCCCCCTGCTCTGGGGCAGGGACTGTCAGGGCTGGTACCAACACATCCAGCATATCCTCAGCCATAGCCAGGGAACAGCATTGACCCCCCCTGTGCCTTGGCTTCCCTTGGCCAGGGATGTCCTTGCAGCTCTCGGGGTGTCCAGGAGGATCTCGCAAGGGACGCAAGGGCAGCCCTGGGACAGGGGACATGGGAAAGGCTCTTCTCGGGTCACCCTGAAAGCTGCTGGCAGCCCCGAGGCCGCGGCTGGTGCAGGATGTGCCGCAGGGGTCCCTGCGCAGCCGCCTTGGCCGTGAAGCAGCCGAAGGGGCTGATGGCAGGTGCTGCGACCAGAGAGAAAACGTGGCCGTACGAAAAGGGGCTGTTTCTAGACAGAGCGTCTCACGCCCATACTCGCCCCCTTCACCTCTCGTGGAGGGGGCTGTTGTTTTGGAAAACGTTCCTCGTGCATGTCCTCGTCAGCAGAGCAGAGTCCTGCTGCTCCTGGGCTCTCCTTGTCTCCAGAAAAACATCTCTCCGGCTTGACCACAATGATTCACGAGCGTGTGACAAGCTGTGGGACGGGGACATCACCACACAGGTTGGTCTTTTCACTGGGCCCCTTTCAAAGTGGGATGTTGCAGAAGGGGGACCTCCCTGAGCTGCTTTGCTCTGAAATTGGCCCTTCGGCAGTCAGGAACAGACCCCTTCCTTATGGACACCTCCACAAAACACATCGGCTTTGGGGGTAGCTGCAAAAATATTTAAATGCCATTTTGGGGTGGATTCAACCCATTTTTTTTTGATTCAGACGGCAAATAAAAGGGTTTTCTGAATTGCCAGACTCCTCACTCAGGCTCTTTGCCATTTTAACCTAAAACATACAATAACGTCTGGCACCCAAGGCGTGCTTTTATATTTCAAAGCTCTTTGCAAACTGTCTGAATCCAGGTGTGTCAGCTCAGGCTAAGCAGCTGTCGAAATCCGGGGGCCTGATCCTGCGTTGCCAATCCTTTCGCTTCCCTTCCTACAGCCCTCCTGAGAGGGAAAAAGCACATCAGGAGTGAGTGAGAAGGCAACAGTTTTGGAAATTTGGAAAGCTGAGGGGTCTGGAATGGAGATGGAGGGAACAGTGATGGAGAAACCCCGTGGGTGAGGCACAGCCTGCAGTGGCTGCGGCAGGTTGCGCTGCCTGCGCTTGGCACGGCATTAACATTTGGTGCTGATTTGCCTGGGAGCTAACAGAAACTATCCCTGGGTTTTATCCCCCGGTTGGGATCCGTAAAGTTTTGTGGTCCCACGTCTGTGACCGCGGTACGTGTGTGTGGGTGTGGGAGCGAACGCGTGTGACGGTCAGGACAGGCTGCGGTTTTAGCCCTGGCGTCCTCGACTTAGTCGGGATCTACAAAAGAACGAGGGTCCCAAGCCCCCGCTGATGCTCACCCCTGCTCGCCTGGGTGCGCTCAGCCCCTGCGTGCCACGGGAGGGTGGGCAGCAGGAGGGCTGAGCCGCCCGAGTGCTTGCAACCCCCAGCACAGTCTCGGCGCGTGGGGTATTGGCAATAAACCACTGCGAGGGCGTTAGAGAAAGGGGGATGCTCGGGGAGCGATGGCTGCGTGCTCAAAGGGCTCCTGCGCCGCACAGCGAGGGCTAACGCAGACGCCGGAGCTGCTGAAAGCTGCCCTGCTCCCCTCGCACGCCTGGGCTCCCCTGCCGTGAGCTCTCTAAGGAGGGGTGTTTTTCAAAAAAGAACTGCTTCCTAAATTACAGATGGGGAAACTGAGGCACAGTAAGGAGACTGGGGGTATGGGGAAGCTATGGGTGAGCTGCAGCCCAGGGCTCCCAGCCGTGCTGGCTGACGTGCCCGCTTGGGAGTGAGCCAGCCGACACGAAGGGCCCCAAATACGCAGGTCGAGGCTCCAGCTCCAGCAAGGGTTAAGGCAATGGCTGTGAGATGGAGCCCGCAGAGGCCCCTGAGCTCCCGAGGAGGAAGATGAGCGTGGCGAGGAGACTGTGCTTCCTCCGGAGCGAGGCTCCCCGCCGAGGAAATTGTCAATTAGTGACATAGTTTTAACCACACAGCGCAGATTCCCAGGATCCGGTGGCTGCTCAGCCAGAAGTCCCCATTATTCGTGTTTATATCCCCCGGGAGCCCAGAGGCCCTGTGAGATGAGGACCCCACCGTGCTGCTGGCAGGGGTCTGCTACGGCTTCAAGCACTAGCAGCAGCCACGAGAGCTGGGAACCCGACGCCCAGCTCCGTGCCTCAGTTTCCCCACCTGCAAAGCATGGAAAGGCCGGGGGTACAGGAGGAGGAGGTCACAGGGCAGGGGCCAAACGAGGGGCAGAGGGAGCTGGGCTGGGTTCCTGCGGGATGCCAGCACTGCAGCCCCACATCGCTGCCTTTAGGGTGGGCATTGCTGCCTCCCTGCCTCCTCCCTTGGGGCACAGGATCAGGCCCCAGACTAATTTCGACCCTTTATGTCCAGAGGTCCTGCAAACCCCCAGCGCTTCCCACACAGGAAAAAGTCATTCCCTGCCCTCAGCAGCTCCGAAGGGACACAGAGGGGACGGAGCAGGAAAACGTGGAGAGACCCACCAGACACAGGCAACCCCCGAGTCACAACCCCGACAACAGAAACGTGGCTGCGAAGAGATTTACCTGCTTTTACTGGTCTGCACAGCGGGGTTGCACCAAAGGGGGGCCCACACCCGCGCATCCCCCTTCCCTCTCCCTGGCCATCCTTGTGCCCATCGCTTTCTGCCTCAGTTTCCCTAGCAAGGTGACGAGCCACACCAGCCCAAGTAAATCACGCAGCCTGGCTGGGGCGACTCTCGGCCCCCCGGCACATTGCACGTGTGTGCACCCAAAAGCGCGCTGGGCAGGTCAGCTCACACCGCCCCCACGGCCACCCATCGCCCCCTCCCCAGCCCTGACCTCTGGAGCTGCTGAATCACGTCTTGGGAAGCGGCTGCCGCCCTCCCGCACCGCCCGGGCTCCCGGCGGCCTCCACGCAT